GAGCCAGAATCACTCAGCTAGGTTACTCCTGGATTCCTGGTCCACAGAAACTGCAGTGTAATATGTACTATTTTGTTATATTCATTTTAGGGTGATTTGTTACACAGGAATAGATAACAGTCTGAATCACTTAATTTGCCATCACTAGATGTTATATGTCTATAGATGCTTTTGCATTACAATGGCAGAGTTGAGTAGTTGTCACAGAAACTATCTGGCCCTTTATAGAAAATGTTTGCTGACCCTTGCTCTAAACTAAGGTTATAATGATCACTTTAGTATTGCAATGTGATCATTCACTGCCCGACTTAACCTCTTACAATGACTTTCTGTTGCCCTTGGGATAAAGATCAAAATCCATAGCATAGCTCAAGAGACCATGATCTGATCTGTGCTATCTTTCTGCATCACATCCTGTCACACATCCCACTCCATGCTTTCGATGCTTCAACCGTATTGTTTCAAACATTTTAGGTTTTTTTTAAATTTTATTGGAGTAACATTGGTTAATAACATAATTTTCAAGTGTACAATATTACAAGTCGACATCTATGTACTCTACTGCATGCTCCCTACCTGAAGTCTAGTTTTCTTCCATCGCCATATATTTGACCCCCTTTACCCACTTTGTCCTCCCTCCATCCTTTCCTCTCTGGTAACCACTATTCTATGAGTTTTGTTTTTGTTTATTGGTAGTTTACTTTTTGTTTTATATTCCACATGAGTGAAATCATATGGTTTTTGTCCTTTCCCCTCTGACCTATTTCACTTAGCAAAATGCTTTCAAGATCCAGTGTACCCTGCCCACGCTTAGGGCCTATGAGCTATATACCCTTAAGAACGCCTTCCCTTATTCTCTCCTTCACCTAGCTCACTTCTACCATTTCTTCAGGTCTCACCTTAAACATCACTTCTACCATGTAGCCTTCTGTGAACTCCCCAAACTAAATGAGTCTATTGGTTCCCATTGCCCTCTGCCTAACTTGCTGATAGCTTCCATTTACTTGTAATTACATACTTAGTATTGTTTTCCTCTAGACTGTAGAAGACACTAACCCTGTCTTGTTCAATGTGGTATCCCCAGCATTCAGCTTAATTTCTTGCACATAGTAAGCACGTAATAAATATTCCTTGCTCTCCCTTACCCTACTGAATTGTCAACTCTCTTCTAGTAGTGCCCACTACTTTCTGTCTCTACAACTCCGCTAGTTGAGCCAACTATTATGTCGTGTCTGGATTCTTTCAGCAGATACCTAGCAGATGTTCTCAATCTGGATTTTTCTCCACAGTGCAGTTGGATAGACTTGTCTAAGATGCAAGTCTGATAGCTTCCCACTCCTCTCTAAACAGTCTAAAACCCTTAGGCGGCTTGCAAAACCCTCTGTAATTGATATTTTACTTATCTCTCAAAAGCACCTATGTTAGAGTCAGAATGATTCCCTCAGATCTTTAGAAGTTCTCTCTCAACTCTGAATCTTGCAAATGACATTCACTTCAACTCTGAATCTTGCAAATGGCTCTCACTTCACCAGAAACATTATTCCCCATACTCTTTTCACCAAGGTATATCCTACACAGTATTTGGGGATCATTTTAGACATCTCTACTCCTTAAAAGCTTCCTTATACTCCCCAAGTCTGGTTTAGAGATCCTCGCTATAGTATCCTATATTCTTCCCAACACCCCCCAAACATACATACACCATTTGTAGTCTTAATCACACAAAAAGCTGTGAGAAAAGGGGCTTCTTTTCCATTGTATTTCCAAAATTTAACACAGTGCCTGGTGCACAGGAGCCCAATAAACATTTACTGAATAAATGAATTTTAATGCTTCAACACTAAAGCAATTTTTCATAATTTTGAAAGAAAATTTTGAAAGTTCACATTAAATCTGATCATTAAATCTTACCGTGACTTCCAATCCTATACTCCTCAATTCACCTAGCATGGACCCCACACTCACTTCAAACAGCACTGCTAAATCTCTTACTGCCTTACATTGTACCCACCTCCCAAATCCCCAAATCATGAATTTCAGGTTTCTATCTTTCAGGTTCAAGATCTCAGGGGCTTCATTAAGTCAGAGAATCTTTCGAATTGGCTTTATTAAAATGTATGGCTTCTAATTCTCTTGGGCTCTCTATGATTTCTGTGGTGCTTCTCCTTATTTCTAGCCTATTCTCTCCGAGCATACATCTAAACTTTTATGTCTTACCGCAAGCCCCCAGAATATAGTAGGCCTGCTTACTCTCAACAGATGATCCTGCTTCTTTGTCACCGAGATAAGAGGAAATCAGATGCAAACTTTCTTTGCTCAAAACTTTCCTCTTTTCCCTTTTCCCTCCCCTCAAGCTGAAGCATTTATCTGTGCTCTTGAACTTCCTTCTTTTGGCCTGTTCTTGGGATCTGCCACAACAAATTGGGCATTGCCACATTACATTAATTTAACTCACATAAAGGCAGCTGTACTTAAGGTCTCATTCATTATGCCTTTTCAACGTGCTATAGCAGCTAGTTACATTTGCTCCACTGGCTAGTTGATTACTGTACCCTAAGAATGGTATAGCTCTTCTATACTTGATATGCTTCATTGTCAAGGGAGTTTGGAGTATCATAAATAGAGAAGTGATCATGTTGCTATCCTTCTGTCCACTCCAGCCCATCCCTGATAAACTAAGCAGAGCTTGATATCATCCAGCCAGATCATAAAGTTAAAGGAAAGAACTATGTGCTGTGAATATGACTGAGACAGTAACAATTCTTCTGCTCTCCTACTATTAAGTGTCAGGCATAACCACCAGTAAATGTATTTTGTCTTGGTGACTTGATTCCAGTGGTTACAACCATGTTGCATTGTTTTGGCTTTTGTTGTTGTTCGCATGACGTCAAATACAAGCCAACAACAGGAACTTGTGAGTTAGCAATTACGATCTTGGAAATGGTACAGAGACTTTTGGGCTACATCTCTTCTCATACTACTGTCACTTCCAAGACTTCAGTGCTTTTAGACAGCATCTTTTCTAAGTCACAGAAATCAATAAATATCAAAATACATAAAGCAGAAAGATGTTTATAGATCCCTAACTGATAACTGGCTGGTGAGCTACAGGATAGATGGGTAGGGGTGAGGTCTTTCAACTCAAACAAGACCATGGGCCATTGAAAATAAACATAAATTATCATAAAGCACATTAGATGTCTGATGTCTAGCTGGGAATTTTCAGAAAGCAGCAAGGACCATAACAGTGTTCCATGGATTTACACACCTGTTTCCCTCTCCCCACCTTCCAAAAACACATACTGAGCAAAAGCTTTGCATTAATTATGAGACAAGGATAGAAGAAATAGGATCTAGCTCTGAAAATAAAAAGAGGAAAAGCAAACCTTTTATACTTAACTCCACCTTAAAGCAACTATTAGTCATGTTATGCTTTCATCTTTTCAGCTATGCTCACTTATACATAGTATTGTCAATATCTTTGAAAAAAAAAACATGTAAGCATTAAACATTTTAAGGACCTTTCACAAACCAAATGACAGTAGGTTTTTATTAACATATCTTACAATGTTGATTATTCCTAGTTTTATAATTTCTGCTTAATTATAAAGATTGATTTAGCTTCTACAGTAATGTACTGTATTTAAATGATCATTCATACAAGATATCACACCAGTACATTTTTTTGAATAATATACACACATCACTCTAACTTGGACCTGTTATTTTTAAAAGTGGGTTTATAAATGGGACTTATAAAAGTTAGGGGGGGAGAAATTAAAGTTCTAGTTTAGCAGCATGCATGTATGTATTCAAGTACAATTTTCAACCAAGTGCTTTTTTAAAATTTACTGGTGACTAATTCACCAATATCAAAATAAACACTATCAAACCCAAATTTTAATGTTAAGGCTAATATTTTCACTTCACATCCATATGCACAACCATAAAACATTCCATTTTAAATATGTAGTAATCAAAGTCTGAATACATTATACCATGTATATATAGCATCAGAGTTTCAAACTGTAGAATTATTCAAGTTCGTGAATCCTGAAACAGTATTTACTAGAGATGTAAATTAGCATTTTGCTCTTCAACCACACTTACAAATGGTCTGGTATTCATAATGACTGATGCAAAAGATATGATAGGCTGAACTTATGATACATTATTTTAAAAAGTAGCAATGTGTTGGAAAGGACAGCTATTTAGTTAAACAGAATCATTCTAGTCTTTCAGAAAGTTATCTTAATGTTTTGGAAATGTATATAAAAATAGCAAGCTATTTCCACGTATTTTGCTGTAGAGCTATAGATAATTTTTTGACTTTTTGAACACATTTGAATATGTACTGTTTGTTCTGCTCTATTTTAATTCAAGGCCATCATTTAATGTCCATTTGCATATTCTGCAATGTCACGTCTTTCAATAATTTTTAGATTGTAGATATTTTATTTTCATATTTTATCATTAGATGTTTTTTGTTTATTTTTACATGTAAAAATGTAATTTTACATATAACAAGCCACGTAAGTCCAAAATACCAGGAATTGCTTGATAGCACTATGTATGAAATAATCATCAAATTATTTGGAAGAAAAATCTTGGTAGCAATATATAACATGCTTTTGTAATCTTTC